TCCCGTCCACGTTGAGCGGGCAGTGGATTGCGCTCGACAAGGTGTGGCCGCCCTTGGCTTGCGAAACCTCACTCGGGTCCCGAAGGTCCAAAATTATTGCGTGACCAGCAATTGCCTTGAGCACGCACACTTCTGAGAGAGGGATCACCCGCCCGTCGGGCTTCACGACGGCTCTCGGTGCGCAGTCGCCCTCATCGCACTCGGGATCGCTGCGGGCCCACTGCGATGGGCGCAGGTTGGTAGGGTCGGAGCCGACGATGGTTTTTGTCCCTCCCATAGAAGAGAGAAGGTCAAGAAGCGGGGCGCCGTATGCCGCGGAGTTTCTCCGCGGATTCCAGCGGAGGGGACGGCCGAGCACCCGTTTTGCGGGGTTTTCTTTCTTATTCTTTCTTATTCTTTTTCTCAACATGGGCACAGACGCAGCGCACAGGCCACAGTACTACGAGTAGGAGACACAGAGTCGCCAGGTAGCCATAAAAGGCTCCGAGAGGGCACGCGCTTCACACTGCAAATGGTTTAGGCAGGCTCCCCCAAAGCTCCGCCGGGTGTGTCCCACCGAGCACCGTTGCCTCACTTGGCCGCGTTACCTCACTCGGCCGCGGCCGCCGGCAGCGTTCTGTTCCTTCTTCTTGTCGTAAACCTTGTCAAACTGCTCCTGGCTCTTCCGCCGCGCCGGCGTCTCGGGCTCCTTGCCGATGACTATCCGCTCCGCTCGCGCGCTCACGCCGCCACCGCGGTAATCGCGGCTGAGCTTTCCGAGAAAGCCGCAGCGCAGCAGATCATCAAAGGGCTCCTCACGCGGCACCACACTGAGCATCGGCTCCTCGGCCTTGGCGCCCATCAGCGACTCTAGCAGCGAGGGCGCTGGCGGGCGAATGGCCCAGGCGAGCTCCACGGGCTCGGCGAGATCGATCCACAGCCGGTTCGTCTCGAAATCGTTGAGGCACTCGTACGCCCAGCGCTCGATGAGTGGTCGCTGCTTCGCCACCGCCGCCGCCAAGTCGCTCACGGACTCACACGCGACCACGCCGATGTTGCTCCAATGCGGGACGGTGCTCGTTTGCCTCGCAAACACGCCCGCCTCGACGCTGTCCTTGTCCTTGGGCGCCCACGCTCGCAGGTCGAGCGACGTCTTTGGTAGCGCCTTACTCGGCATCAACGAGAAGTAGGCCTCTCGCTGCGCCGCCGCGCACGCCTCACTCACTTCAACGAGGGCGAGGAGCGGCCGCCCGACACGCACCGGCGTGACGAGCGGAGAGGTGTCGATTCTGAGGCCGTTGAGCGTGGCCGGGGCGAGCGCCGAGAAACAGGCAGTCGTCAGGATCGCGACGGGCGGCAGCATTGCGAATGAATTCGGCGGAATTCTTTTTGCAAGTGTGCGCCACGGGTGCATCATGTACTACCGCTCCACGCCAAAGCGCGGCGACGGTGCTCGCCGGCGCTCGCGTGCCTTCGGTGCTCGGGCGCGCTCACCGTTGTGGTTGTTCAGGGCGGCTCGCACAGCGCCCGCACACAACACACACACACACACACACACACACACACACACACACACACACACACACACACACAAATCACACACACACACACACACACACACACAAATCACACACACACACACACACACACACACACACACACACACACACACACACACACACACACACACACACACACACACACACACACACACGCACGCACGCACACACACACACACACACACGCACGCACGCACGCACGCACGCACGCACGCACACATGCACACACACACACACCATGCACAGACACACATCCCCTTCGAAGTCCCCTTCCCCCCCAAGACCCTCAAGGACGAGGACACGCGCAGGCCGCACATCTAGCGAAGCCCACAGAGAGGGAGACTCCTACCACCGCACCCTGCCACCCTCGGCGCGTGAGCCTCGGCCGCCTCTGTCACTGTGCCTGTGGTAGTGAAAGAGACTGCCAGCGAGGAAGCTGGAGGTTAGGTCGCTAGACTGAGATGAGACCGCCAGTGGAGTTGGGAGTCCACCGCGAGCACCGCGCTGCGAGCCTGTCGTGTCCCTTGGCAGGAGCAGGAGAACCCCCCTGTGCTCTTGATCGTCCTTCCAAAATCCTGCTCGTGCTCCTCCCATCCCTCATTTGGGTTGTCTGTTCTCTTTCGTGGTGAGCTGGTGTGTGTGCCAGTCCGCGCCACTAGCCGCGCCAGTCCGCGCCGTTGTCGTGCCAGCGTGCTGTGAGAGAGGCTTGTATTTTAAGAATTCTTTCTTGAGCACTTGAGCACTGGATAGGGTCGGTTCCGCATGGTACGGGACCCCTCGATCGTCTCGCCCTCCCTCACTGGGGTGTTCATTGGGGGGGGTCATAACAAACACGGTACAGGATCGAGGTGCACGCTGCCGAAGCAGTGTCGTCCCCCCTCTCCTCGACGGTGATGGCGGTGTGACCGATCGAGCTACAAGAGGAGCTTGTTCGCGCTGCGCTAGCTAGGCTGAGACTACCCACCCTGGAAATTACGGCTTGAGGGTAAATAAACGTTCGACGTATCACAGCACACTACACACCTTACACACACAGCTAGAGAGAGAGAGAGAGAGAGAGAGAGAGAGAGAGAGAGAGAGAGAGAGAGAGAGAGAGAGAGAGAGAGAGAGAGAGAGAGAGAGAGAGCCCATGACTTAGT